GCAGCCCAGCCCCAGGTTGAGCTGTTCAGCATCTTAGCTGTGGAGGGCAGTGTCACTGGCCCTCATATGTGGGATCCGAACTGGGGTCCTCTGGCGTCCCAAGTCAGCTCTTAACCAACGTGCCACTCTGCCGGCCCCATTTATACCTATTTTTAAAAATCACTTTTGGGCCTTTTTTCTCATTTGAGTGCCATTTTTTTTCCTTTGTTCTTCCAATGAGTCCAGCCCAAGCCAGATGAGAAGAGGCAGTCAGGCCACCTGACAGCAGAAGTAGCTTCTGTTGATGGCAGAGTCTCTTCCAGCCCCATTCACGGAGCCTGGACACATCCTGCCATGGCTAAGGGGCCAGGGCTCTCTTCTCTTCATTGGGAAATCAGGTGCTCCCTCTTTCCTGCCATTCCTGACCCCAGCACTTCCCTATCAGAAGGATAGCTGAATTTTTCTCAACTTATTTTTTTTAATTTTTATTAATTTATTTTTTATTATTATTAGTTTCAGGTGTATAAAACAATGCAATAGTTATCCTTTTCACCCCTCACGAACTGACAACACCCTTCCCCCATCCACTGCCCCCTCACCCCCGATATCATACATATCTGTTACAATTCAATGACTCCATTCCCACACTCTACTCCACGTCCCATGACTATATATGTATTAAATTATAGTTGACATATAATATTACTCAACGGCAGTTTCAGATGTACAGTGCAGGGGTCAGGCCTCTACACCATCCATGAAGTGGTCTCCCTAACACGACATAAGACCATCTGGCCTCCTAAAAAATATAACTTTATTGATTATATTCCCCAAACTGTCTTTTCTATCTCCGAGGCAATAGTGTAGTTATCAATTCATGTTGTCTCATCCCTTCCTCTGTGTCTCTGAGACTATTTCTGTTTACGTTAACTCATTTATTCAGTTTTTTAGATTCCACCTATAAGTGAGATCGTATGGTATTTGTCTCTCTCTGACTAACTTATGTCACTTAGCATAATGTTCTCTAGGTCCATGCACATTGTTGCAAATGGTGCAATTTCCTTCTTCTTTATAGCTGAGTAATACTCCATTGTGTAAATTACCATAGTTTTTTAATCCAGTCATCTACCGATGGGCATTTCGGTTGTTTCCAAGTCTTGGCTATTGTAAATAGTGCTGCAATGAACATAGAGGTGCATATATTTTTCTGAATTAGTGTCTTGGGTTTTTCTGGATAAATACCTAAGAGTGGGATTGCTGGGTCATAAGGCAGTTCCATTTCCAGTTTTTTGAGATACCTCCATACTGACTTCCATAGTGGCTGCACCAATCTGCAGTCCCACCAACAGTGCACCAGGGTTCCCTTTTCCCCACAATTTGGCCAGCACTTATTGTTTGTTGATTTATTGATGATAGCCATTCTGACCAGGGTAAAGGGGTGTCTCATTGTGGTTTTAATTTGCATTTTCCTAATTATTAGTGAGGTTGAACATTTTTTCATATGCCTGTTGGCCATCTGTATGTCCTCTTTAGAGAAATGTCTCTTCATATCCTCTGCCCATTTTTTAATTGGGTTGTTTGTTTTTTTGGTGTTGAGTTGCATGAGTGTTTCATAAATTCTGGATATTGACCCCTTATCAGATATATCGCTGACAAATATCTTCTCCCATTCAGTAGGTTTCCTTTTTGCTTTATTGGTGTTTCCTTTGTTGTGAAAAAACTTTTAAGTTTGATGTAATCCCATATGTACCTCAAATTATTTTTTAAATTTTATTTTGATCTGGGTATTTTTTTATTGTAGTGAAACACACATACCATAAAATTTACCATTTCAACCATTTTAAAGTATACAATTCAGTGGCATTTAGTACAATCACAATTCTATATAACCATCACTACTATCTAGTTCCAAAACATTTTGTCATCCCAAAAGGAAACCCCGTACCCATTAAGCAAGTCACTCTGTATTCCCGTCTTCCCCTAGCCCTTAGCAACCACTAATCTGCTTTCTTTCTCTATGGGTTTACCTATTCTGGATAGTTCATATAAATAGTATCATAATATGTGGCTTGTGTTTGGCTTCCTTCCACTAATAATGTTTTCATCGGTCATTCATGTTGTAGCATGTATCAGTACTTCATTCCTTTTGATGGCTGAGTAGTATTCCATTGTATGAATATGCCACATTTTGTTTATCCATTCAGTTGATGAACATTTGGATTGTTTCTACCTTTTGGCTATTCTGAATAATGCTGTTGTGAACATTTGTCAAATTAATTTTTTTTCTTTTTTGTGCTGTTGCTGTTGTAACTAAGAAATCATGGCCAAATCCAAGGTCTTGAAGATTGATCCCTGTGCTTTCTTATAAGAGTTTTATAGTTTTAGCTCTTACATTTAGATCCATTTTGAGTTACTTTTTTGTATGTGGTATGAAGTAAAGGTCCAACTTCATTCTTTGGTTACTGGGTGTGTGGTTGTGAGACAAGTTCATATCTGTCGCCAAGGGATTTATTATCATCAAGCATTTTGAAGGAGGGAGGTCCCTTACTAACGTTGAACAGAACAGTGACATTAACTCAGAAGCGATCCTCATCTTGACAGTGTTCTCATTTTCATTTCTTTAAACGTTTAGCATCATCCTTTTGTATTTTCCCTTCTACCACAGAATTCTAATGTTGAATTCTTTTTACCCTTGATAGACAGATGTACAGAAGATTTTAAGAAATGCAAGGAAACTACCTGAAAAAACACAGACATTCTATAAGGTGAGACTATCAGAATTACAGTGGAAGAGGGTAGGCCCAGGGATGTGTGCCAGAAATAAATGGTTCACAGTTGTGTCAGGTACCAGAGTGAACATGGACAGGGATTAGAAATGTATGCCTTGTACCTCATTTTTTTCATTGGTAAAGTCAGTAGAAGTAATAGGTCCATTGCTGCCCTAAAATCCAAGAATTGGAAGTATTTAAATGGCCTGGTTCTGTACAGAAGGGCTTCTCTGTATTGGTGCTGCTGTGCATGGTGAGGGAAGGTGCTGAAGGGACCGTAACCCTCCTCACCACTCCCTTATGAGTATCCGGACTAACCCCAGGCAACCATTGTGACTTCCTGGGATGCTGCTGGCCCAGGATATTCTTACTGTACCAAAGAAGCTGCTTCCGGGAATGACTTCTAAAATTGCACACTTATGAATTGCAAAAGGATGGCCCTCTGCAATCATACCTAACTAATCCAGAACCACTGGTGGAAGGAATTAAGTTATAAGGGGTAGGGCGGAGTGTGGGGCATTTAAACTCACTTGTTTCTCTGGTCCTGGTGTTTGGCTAAAATCAAATTAAGTGGCAGTATGAGGTGGGCTGTCTTGTCAGTTGTGCGTTAGCTTGCTAATCTTAAAATATGGTACACACAGCTAGCCCCAGGCTAGCATTTCTTCCAGAGAACACACAAGCTACTTTGTCTGGATGTTATGTCATTACCTTTAAGTCACTATTGTCTTCAAACTTAATTATGTAGTGAGCTGATGAAATCAAGCAAAAGCCACCTTAATCCGAGTTCAACCAGAGAGCCACCCTGCCCGCCATGCCCCCCTCACTGGAGCCCGTAGTTCACACAGGCCCTTGATGACCTCTACTTGGCTGTAGTCCCTCTCCCTGCAGAGCTCTCTACACATGACTGTCAGCTGTCTATTCAAGATGGCACACTTGTACTTTGGACTTCTTCTGAACTTTGCACTTGTTAACAGATGATAGTGGAGAGGTGGTCAGAAAGCTTATTTCTCTTTTCTAGTTTTATATAATCCTATTGTACATATCAGAGCTGGGAAGGGCCTTTACCAGGCGATTGCGCCAGCCCCTGCAATGGGCAAGAGGCGATCCTCTTCATTTTGGAAATGCGACCATTGAGACTGAGAGTCTACACAACTTGCCCAGATCACACTGCTAAGTGGTTGATGGGCACTTCATATTTCTCTGCTTCGGTTCACTACCTGACCTTTTGGGCCAGACTTTCTGACTCCTCCAGAGCCCCTTTCAGACACGTTCATTGCCATTCAGCCTGAAGCCCAGCCAGAGATGCACCAGAGGCTTAAGAGCCCTCTGAGATTTGGGGCAAGCCTTTTTCATACCTGAGTAAGAGAAGAAAGGTAACACTCCGTAGTTATAAACGGTGTATGCAAAGTGCCTCATTGTGTTTGGCGTAAGTGCTACTGATGACCTGTTTCAGTCAGCTGTCTTCCTTACCCAGATTTCTGGTCACCTACAGAGCTGCTTCCTAGTCAGGTCATCACACTATCGGCATCTCTGTACAGCATTCTTCTCCTATAAAAAAGCTTACTTCAAGTTCATGGGTCAAGATCTTATTCTTAGCTGAGTACTTATAAAGTATGTGATGAGGAAAATGCATTTCAGGAACATTGGTTTTTTTTATCTTGTTGCAGGAGTTGAACCGTTTACGAAAGGCTGCCCTGGCTTTTGGTTTCCTGGACCTGCTCAAAGGGGTGGCTGACATGCTGGAAAGGGAGTGCACGCTGCTGCCCGACACAGCCCACCCTGATGCTGCATTCCAGCTGACCCACGCTGCCCAGCAGCTCAAGCTGGCCAGTACTGGCACCTCCGAGTATGCCGGCTATGACCACAACATCACACCTTTGCAGACAGACTTCTCTGGGAGCAGCGCTGAAAGAATGTGAAGCTGACTTTGGTAGCCTGCCTTCTTTTTCCATTTCAAGTGAGAATGATTTAGGATAAAAACTTTTCCAATCTGTTCACCTCTGCAATACCCACCCAAGGACCTCCCTGAGGCTGCCTCAGAAGCACCACTTGCTGGTTTGAATGACTGCTACAGTCTGACAAGGGTACTGAAGGGTGGTTGGCTGCCTGGGCTTTGACTTTAGCTTTCCGGGGCTCAGTCTTTTTTAAGCCCAAAGACCCCTGTTGCTCCCACGATGGGTAGATCTCCTGAGAAGCTTGAAGGACTGATGAGCACAGAGCTCTCCCCCTTCCTCAGGAAACCTAAGAAAGGCTCCTCTGGCTTCCTGAGGCATCTTCTCTCTCAATCACAAGGACATTTTCAAGCGCCTATCCTTGGAATGAGCAACCCAGACTGTCTGGGACTTGTTAAGTACAAGCCTTATACCACTAAGTTTCGGAACTTTTCTTAGAACTTGGGCATAACTTGGGTCTTAGGTGCTTTTGGTATATCTTTTAAACAGCATCCATAAATGTATAAAATTATTCCTGTTTCTTCAAGGTTTTTTTTAATGAAAATAAAATACTTGATTTTCTATAAAATGGTTTTACAGGAAAACAAATGGGTTTTTGCCTTTTGGTCCATCCTACCTTCTGGATATAATTTCAGCTTCCTGTGTGGCAAACATTCATAAATCATGAGGGCTCCTTGGGTTCCATACTAACTTCCTGGTTTCTGACACTGATTAGGCCTCATTATAGAAGCGAGGTTCCATCCAGGTAGATTCTGACAGGTCATTGCAGTCAGCTATGATTCCAATTCACCAGGCAACTTCATGACCTTGGGCAAGTCCTATAACTTGTCTAGGTTTTATTTACATTGTCAATGATTTTCAAATTGCTCTGTGGCCCACCTAAGGTATTACTCCCTCCGTCTTCAACCTGAGGAGCCACGTTTGGTTTAACATGCTGAACTGCTATAAATTTTGTCTGAACAGAGGACTTTATTACTAACAATGTGCAAACCGTTAGAGTAAATGATCTTTAAAACACCAGTTACTAGGATTTTGACTGCAAATGTTTAATAGAAATAAACAATCTTTTGCTTTCTCAGACAGCAACAAAAGGGCTTATAAGAACACAAGATCCTGCCACAGATGCAGCATAATCTACTGCACAGCTTATCTGCCCAATTACACACAGAAAGTCAGTTGAAAGAACACCAGAAGTTAATACAAACAAGTGTTGACAGAAGTTACAGACATGCAAAATATCCTTCAGTGCAACAAACTTGTAAAAAAATCAACCAGCCTATCCTAATGAGATGTTTTTAGGTCAAACCAAGTTTCCATCTTGGGCTCAGAGAAACAGTGTAACTTATTTACTCTCCTTTTCCCCAGGAATAATGGGAATGGCAGTACAGAAAGAGCTATTTTGCCTTAAAATCTTTTACACAAGCATTACTTCCAATACATTTTATTTGGTTTATTTGGAATGTAGTAGAGGAAACATGTTTTTTACAATGGCCAAACTTCATAAAGTCTAAATTTTTTTCAGGTCCTCTATAGGTGGGTTTCCTGCCAGGAATCTTTGTTAAAGGACCAGCTGGTGGTTCTCTAGCCAAAGTTCTCTGTTTGCTGTCCTACTGCAGACAGGTAAAATAAAAGCAGGTACTTTTGAGGTCTATTCAAAAACAGATAATCCCACCACTTATTCTGACAGGTACACAAGTAAGTGGACTCAGACAGTGCAGGGGAAGGAAGATTGAGCCTTTTGTTGGTGCACAGCCTAAGACAGTTTTGTAGGTATGTTTAGTCTGGCCTATGCTGTTTCCAGTTAGCTACAGGTTGCATCACCAGCTGTCTTATGGCCAATTTGACCCTTCTGACTCCTGTAGCCATTTGAGTTTGGAACTCTCATAATCTCATATTCTAACTAATGTTTCATCTTTCTTTAATGTTGAAAATAGTTCTGATTTTGCTAGGAATGAAGTGACCGTGGTTCCAAGATTGACTGGTTTCTAAATCATTCTGTGCCCACACAGGTAAGCACTGTAGTAACAGATATTGTTAGAGAGGCCAAAAGATTCAGAGGTAATAGGTGTTTCTAGCCCCACTCAGACTCAGAAATGCTTTATTAATGACTAGGTTGAACTTGATTTTCAAAAAATCAGTGCTACCCCTCTAACTAGTAACCCCTTCAGTACAGAATATATTAGGTACTGCTTGAGTCACTTTCACAGCCTCCTATAATAGAGCAACAGAGTCTTGCTTCTTTTCACAATAGAAAAGAACAAATCTCTGTAAGAATGACCAATCTGGTAGGGTCAGGGCACTGAAGAAATCTCTCTGGCCTGTGTGAAATTGACTGACTGGACATGGAGAGGGTGGGGGCAGGGCTGAGTCTGCTGTCACAAACAGAATACAAAAGAACAAACCTGTCATCAGGTACCAGAAATCTATGTCATGCAAGTACTACACTAAGATGATAAATTCAGGGGTGTTAGTGGGGAAAAGAGAAAACAGCTGAGAAAGTAATCATTTAACTTAAAAAAAAACTTGTACATCGGTTACAAGAAGGTAAAACTAAGAATTATAGATTAGGCTCAAACTGGCAAGAAGTCATCTAAGTCTCTTTTTTCAGTTGATCTTTTTCTTTTTTTGTCCATATCGCCGCCTGCGCTGCTTATAAAGGTGACGGAAATTTATGTATAACCCTGAAAAAGAAAAGAGGCCAATTAGAAATGAGAATCTTTGTTTATAACCAGAAGCTCTTAGGGCAGGGACAGTCTCTAGTCCATTTTTCATATGCCACAGCACTATGCTTATTGCAGGAAGTACAACTTATTAAGTTACTAACAAATTATTAACAATGCACTAGAAACAACTCAGTTTGTTTCCAGTGGGTTTACAATTTAAGTTTCTGCCATATTTTATGAAACATTTGAAACATATAAAAAACATTAAATCATTGTAAACACCACCTAGATTTAAACTTTATTATATTTACTCTATTACATACCCATTCCCACCTCATTTTTGGTGATTTTCATTGTAAGTTACAGACATCAGTATACTTCACCCCTAATCCTTAATTATGGTTAAATTTTTTTTTTCTTTCTTTTAAGTTAAAGTTAACATAGAATACACAAATCTGAAGTATAGAAACAACCCAATTAATTGAAGGCTATGCAATAACATATATTAAGCAACAGTTTAAAAGGCATGACACATTTTTCTAGGAAGCACAAACTAGTGAATTAGGAAACAGGATTTCAGAGTCAGGAAAAACAAATTTCAGTTCTGCTTGTCTACTCATTAGTTCTGTGGCTTAGCCTCATCCCAGTTTCCTCGCTGTACAACAGGGTTAAAAGCACTTATTTTACAGACTTACTATAGGAGAATGTATGTTTAGAAAAGCACTTGAACCTATATACAAATGTAACTGGTTATACTGCTTCTAAATTATGTAAATTAGGATTTATTTCATTCTGAAGAATAAGAACAACTACATATTCATTGTAAGCAAACTAAACATGAGTATAAAACTGGGTAGGGCCGGCTGAGTGGCTCAGTTGGTTAAGAGCTCGCTCAAGAGTTTGAGCTCTGAGCAACAGCAGTTCGAGTCAGCCCGAGCTGAGCAGCCGTGAGCTGCCAACAGGTGGCAGGATGGCTCAGCTAAAAAAAAAAAAAAATCTGAAGAAAAAAAAAAAAAACTGGGTAAATTAGAGTGTGCAACAACATAAACAACACGAAGAAAAGTCACTAGGGGTAGCGCACATCAAAATACTTTACCCTTCTAACTTTTTTGGTAAAATATTTTAAGGGTCTTTGCAACACTTATTCCTCTTTTTCTTTAACACTTTCAGTATGCCCACCTCATTATGTAATACTAGATTTACCCAGTAAAAGAGGTAAACAGCTCTTTTAATGAGTAAATTTTCCAAATTGAAGCATACTCCTTTCAACGGCCAAACATTTTAACAATTTTGTTAAAAATCTTTCTGAAATGGATTATATACCCTTTCTGAAATAGAAAAGAGAAATGGAGTAAAATTGAACCTCTGGCAAATGACCTATACCCATAACGTGTATTATGAATTTACTGTGCTTCAGCCGTGTGCTGATAACTAAGGTGTAGGTCTCTTCTCCCCCAATATTACTAGTAAATGACCAAGACCACTGGGCTTTCTGCCTTCTTGGGTTTACTTGTTGTGGTATTCCTCTTACTGTCTGGGGTGGCCAGACTCCAATATGGTCCCCAATGATCCCTGCCTACCATCCTGGTACCTCATACCATTGTGTAGTCCCCTCCCACATTGTACTAGGTAGGTCTGTGTAACCAACAGAATGTGGGAAAAATGACGAAATGTCACTTCTGAGATTAGGTTATAAAAGGCAGTGTGGACTTGATAAAGAGGTGCTAATTATTGCTACAATGGCAATGGCAATCAAATTACAATATATAGATGTATCAAATCAACATGTACATCTTAAATTCGTATGTTACATGTCAACTATGTTACAATTAAAATATTAATAGTCAAATTTTTTAAAGGCAGTGTGGCTTCTGGCTCTCTCAGATCACCAGCTCTGGGGGCCATGTCATGAGCAGCCATATGGAGAAGTACTGTGGCGAGAAACTGAACCTTGTGTCCACAACTACAACAGTGAGCCTGGGGCAGATCCTACAGAACCAGACAAGTCTGCAGAAACTGTCGCCCCAGCTAAACTGACAACTTGACTGAAATCTCATGAGGGGCCCTGACCAAGGGCCACCTCTATCACATCCACACTGCCTTTTATAACCTAATCTCAGAAGTGATATATCATCACTTTTCCCATATTCCTGACCCTCAGAAACCATTGTCTTAATTGTGAAATTTGGGGGTAATGTGTTACACAGCAATAGATAAATAATATACTATCTGCTGTCATATCCTCTGTTGCTAGGAGACCAGACAGCCATACTTATTTATGGCTATCTCAAGACTTTTGTGAACTAAAGCAGGGATAAATACATAAATTATATTAGAATGTGTTAGAACTTTATCTAAAGTAAACAGTTCTTATAGTTAGGAAGGCTTGTAAATCTTTCATAATTTAGGTTTACATTTTCCCTTCTTTTAGTCTTTATGAATCAAGGCAAGAATTTATGATTTTATATAAAAGTAAATAAATAAGCAAGCATGTTTTACATGGGGGGTGAGAGGGCTTTCCTATTGTTAGGCAGAAGGCTTTATGACATTTCTTGGCTATTCAGAGGCCGTTATTGCCTTCTGCCTTTCTTGCTGCCAACTGTATTAACCACCTCTGTAAACTCTGGATAAAGAATGTGCTACTGAAATGAGTAAAAGTAAAATGAGCTTCTTATTCTATTTTAAAAGCGTTTCTCACATTGTTTTAAACATGAAATATCTTATGGTGAGTTCCCAATAACCAAGAGCACTTCAAGAGGACAACTCAACCACTAGGAATTTGGAAAGAAATATTTCCATACATAGTATATTCTCCTAGTGGGTCTGTTTGCAAAGTAATCTTCTCTAACTCTATAACTCTTTTGGAAATATGAATCCTAAAGATTTTTAAAACTTAATCATTTAACTCTACCGTCTAAAGAAGCGACAGGAAAAAGTCTATTACAAAGCCAACACTTACCTAAAAATAATACTATAAGATAAATCTGAAGAAAAAAGGAAAATCTAACTTTGATTTTCACTGGATATGGCAATGTGAAACTGAATCTTCCTGTTTCATTGAATACTGGAATGGATTGGATCACTGAGACAGCTGAAAACAGAAACAAGAATTTGTTAGAAGCAAATGAAATACAGTCACATCTAGTGATAGTCTCTAACTCCTCAAACTTTCAGTTCTGGGTTTGTTGAAAATGCTCCCTCCTCCCTTTGTACAGATGGCTCAAGCCTCTTCTTTTTTCCCCTTAGTTTTCCTAAAAGATGAGCCTCCAAGCTGACAACAGAAAGATGAATGAGGAACAGTCACTTGATAGCACTGGGCTTCAGTTTCCTATTCTATAAAATGGAGGCAAAAATCCTTACCTGACTCACTCACTAGGTGTTTGTCAGAATAAAATGAAGTTATCATTCTGCTTTGGAAAACTAAAATTACCATGTAAATAAGAAGCGTGTGATACATGATCACTCAGCTTCCAAACCTTAACAAAATGAGCTATTTCCCTGGAACAGTCTAGGTACCAG